GAATACAGGAGCTGGGGTACATTGTGGGAGGGGGTGCTGGGGATTCACCAGTGACAGATTAGGGAACAGAACAGGCAAACTGACCAAAATACACTGGTGATGGGAGCAGGGGGAGAAACAGGAGAAGTCTGCTGCCCTATGTGGGTCACCTCCCTGGCTGGGGAGCGGGATCAATCTTGTGCTTTAGTAGTGGCAGATGGCTTGCTAGTGCTAAGACTTTACCGCTTGGGCCACCAGGCAGGGCTGAAAGTTGGGTTTTTAGAAAACAGAGAAAACTATATGAACCAACTACTGCTGGGAAGCTGAGTGCGATATGAAAAGTGACTTGACTGTTGGATTTGGTTGCACAGCGGCCACTAGTGGTCTTGTTGAAGTAGTTTCTGTGTAACATTTTGCATTAGCAAGAGTTCCCCGAGAGAGATAGAAAGTGTAGCTGTTGTTTATCTGCAGAGAGATCTTGCAGGGAATTACCTCCCATGTTTGTGAGGAAAGGTAGCAGCTTGCAAACTTCTGGGTAGGAGCTGAGCTGTTGCTTTCCACAGATGATATAGCTTTCCACTGAGAAAGCCCATTTTTGCTCTAAAAATTTTTCAACTGAATGAATCATTATAGAATGTGATCTCATATTTATTGCAAACAATCACAGATGTCTACCACTTCACAGTGACACCTAAATTAGTATTGAAAAATGAAGGACTCTAAGCAAGATGTGGTGACAAGAAAAGCTGACCACTGCATGTTTAAGGACTGATTTGAATCAGCAGCAATGTGAAGAGAAGTGTGAATGTGGAGACAAGAACTAAAGATGCGTCTTGAGAAGAATATTTTATGAGAAGAAGGGAGTTGGGTCTTTGGAGTGTTCATTGTTCAGTCTGAGATATTATATGGCAAAAAAAAATTAAGTTTAGGGAGGAACAATCCAACACAAAAGGCAATAAGATGATGCTGAAGGGAATGTCTGGCTGCAGAACACATGCTGTGGTATTGGTTTTAGATAAAAACTAGGGATGTAATTTTCTTGTTTCAGAGAGTAGAAAACAGCAGAATTAGTGACAGAAGATGGCAGAGTACCACCTTGAGGATCATCCCAAGGAACAGTCTGTGACCAGCTGTTTCCCAGGTGATTAACTTCTCATCACAGACACTATTTTTTATTTTAAGATTTAGTTATTTTATTCATACAGAACTAGGGTACAGGCCAGAAATGTGGAGGGTGAGAGAATTCACCAGGACAGAGTGGGGAGCAGAACAGGCAGATCAACAAAGGTACACGCTGAGGGGAGCAGTGGGCGGGTCAGGAGAGGTCTGCCACGCCATGTGGTCACCTCCGGGGCAGGCGGGGATCGAACTCATGTTGAAGTGGCTTGAGCTTCTTAGTGCAGTGCTTTAACCTGCTGCGCCACTAGGGAGGGCCCACAGACACTATTTTACCTGAAGAGAAGTTCTCCTTAGAAGATGCACTGAGGCCCTCCCTGTGGCACAACAGGTGAAAGTACAGCACTATGAAGCTAGCCACAGCTGCCTTAGTACAAGTTCGATTCCCTGCCCCACTGTCCAGGGATGTGACCCACATGGCCCAGCAGACCTCTCCTGTCTCCCTGCTGTCCCCCTCAGCTGTGTACTTTGATAGATCTGTCTGCTCTGCTCCCCACTCTGTCTCTGGTGAATCCTCTCACTGCCCTGCACCTCTGACCTTTACCGCAGTTCTGTATGTATCTTAATACATCAGTTCTAAATACATCTTAAAAAAAAAAAAAAAAAAGGTGTACTCATTAAAAGGGAACCTGCCTGAATAAGACTTTCCATAGACTAGGGCAACTTCAGTGTCTTTGCTGGGACCAGAACTGGGCTTTAGGCTATGTGTGAATCTTCTAATATTGTGGAAAAATATATGTTCGTATTACTTTGAGCACTTTTCTTAGGAGTAGCTCTCTTGTCACTACCGGTTTTTCAGGACTCCAAGACTAGGGAAAGCACTGGCCTTTCAACCCTACAATCTACTATTTACCTTGCTGCTATGTATCTTTCTGTGCAAAGCATGTAGAACAATAGATGTGAGCTGGAAAAGATGGCTGAACTGAGAGGAAACAAACATATGAGGATATATCAAAGACCAATAGAATTATTACACCAAAAATAGGTGCTTTTTTATGTCAGCATGAGAGTTTCATGTTATAATTAAAAATAAGCCTCCAACTAGTAACAGCTCATACCAAGAGGAGAAATAATGAGACACACTAGATGCCTAGAGATCCTAGAATGGGAAGCCTATTGCCTTGTAGAATTCTGTGTTTTGTAATGCTCAGGCAGGAGAGGGAGGCAGTCTCCCCTTGGCCTGATGGTTTGTTGATGTGTCTACTGCAAAACACATCATCCTACAATGCTTGTCCAAGGGAAAGATAGTCACACCATAAGTCCCCTTTGTGTTGAACTTTCTTTTTAGTAGTCTATGTCCATAATTTCCCTGGGGAGCTTATTAACATTCAGCTTTCTGGGTCCTTATTCCAGAAATCATAATACAGAATGTAAAAGAAAGAGCTAGGGAAATGAATTTTTAACCACTCTGAATGATTCTGATGTGGTACTTGGTTAATGATAAAATGGAAAAGAATATGGGCATATAACCCAGTCACATGCCTGTAACTGAAAACAAGAATTTATTGGACTAATTTATATTGAAGTTATACTGTTTGCTCAAATGTGTTTATTCATTAGTGTTCATTGGATTTTAACATATAAGCAGGAGATGCACTGCTCAGATTTTGTTTTTGCTTTTTTTTTTTTTAATTATGATGGTGCTACTTACAGGAAGGGGAATTTTGTTTCCTAAAAAATGTTGACCTTATTCTAGAGTGATAGGCAGTTCTACTCATGTTTGCAACATTTCTTTTATGCAAGATGGAGCTCCACTTTGAAATTGCATAGAAACAACCCAGGAGAAATGAACAGCTAACAGAATTCAAGGAGAGAAACAGTCCATGAGTTACATTGTGTTGAAACATTCCTTATCTTCTGCTTATAAAAATAAATAAATAAATAAATAAAATAAAATAGCAAAAGCCCTCCCTGCACCCCTCCCCCCTTATGGCTCTGATGGAGGAAAGAACACAGCACGTCACCCACTTCTGGGAAGGAACTCAGCTTAAACTGATCTTTTACTTGCAAGGCTTAATGGTAGCTCAAACATCAAGAGTGCTTAATACTGAATTTTGTTTGCTGAACCCTCATCATCTTATCACTTCCAAATTTCTTCATCCTTAAATCGAAAGAGTTTTCTAGCTCTGGGTTGAGTGTCACATTTCAAATATGCATATATAAATCTAGTACACTTAAAACAGTGGATTTGTCATGCTCAATATAGCTACTACTGTGCAGATCGCATCACTCACAAATATAGCCCACTATTAGCAGTACTTGTGGGTACTTACTATAGGAACAACCGTAGACCTCAACTCTCATGCCAATCTTTCCACTTGGATTCCATTGCAGGGGCACAAAGCGAATGAACCGGGCTCTAACTGAGTGCGGTAATTTGTGGTGCATCACGCTGTCAGCATTCACATTTCCTGAAAAGGTCTGCAGAGAGAGAAGAGGCCAGTGAGGACTGTGATCCCAGAGCCACCCTTTTGTATACTAGCACTCAAGGAGTATAAATGGAAATTCATATATATTGTTTCATGAAGTCTTTGAGAGAAAATTCTCAATTCCTTAGGTATTTCAAATGAAATCTGATGTGGCTGAAAATTCTGTATTATGTATTGCATTTTTTCTCTAAATATAGTGTTTTAAGAATTCCCCACATACATTTTATGAACAGGTCAATCCCAGAAAGTCATAAGACATGACACTTAAAGTTTTTCCAAAATAAATAATACAACAAAGTTCCATACCAATGTTCATAATCGCTGTGGGAATGGAGATAACTAACAATCTCCTTTAGAGGGAATGTCTTTTACTGAAGTAATTGTTACCATTAATTAAGGTCAGTCACTATGCTAAGCACTTTCCATTATCACTATTACCATTTTATAGATTAAAAAAAATTCTGAAGCCTAAAGAGAGAGAGGGGAGTGAAAAAAAAAAAAATCTTTAAATCATTTAAATCATCCAACTGGTCAGAAATTTGCCTGAGATTCAGTTTCAAAGTTACCTTATTCCAAAGCCTATGGTTTTTCTGCAGTCTGTCATTCTTTGCAATTCTAATGTTAATTGTTAGAAGAGAGTGATCAAGAGGTTAAATTTTTATGTAATTCAATTTCACATTTCCTTGTGAAGTTTAAACAAAGGGACTGAAAATATGGGAACTATTTGGCACACTTAAATTATGCCTCATAGCCTTCACTTGGACTAAGGATTTCTGTAGCAGAAATTATTTTGCAGATGGAATCCAGAGCCTCATATCACTTGTAAAATTTACCATTTCAACCATTTTATAACATATAGTTTAATGGCATTAAGTTCATTCATATGATTGTAAATACCCTAAGAATTTATCATCCTGGTTGTACCCAATCTTTAAGAAAAGGCATCAAATAGCACAGTTATTTACCTAGTTCATATGATTTATTATCTCTGCTTTTCTGACTTATGTGTTCTTAGATAAATCTTTCTTGCTAATGTTCTATCAATATCATCAAATAAAAGAAAAATTCATTGGTTTCTCAAAGACCAAACTATGCACCAAGTAAAAGATTAAATTTATTTGATAGAGTATATTTTCAATGATACACATATCAATTTGTATGCTTACAAATTTAGGGTGCCTTGAACAATCTGATGTTTTGTTGCACACAAAACCTCTGCCTAATAGCTGTGATATTAGACAACTGACACAACTGCTATCATGTGGTACAAAGTAGTTTAAGAAGAAGTCATGCCCTACATTGCCACCACACCTGCAGAAATACCCTCATGTAAGAAAATAACATGGTGGAGAGGAATACCTCAAGATTCAAATACAACATTTTAGTTTCAGAAAAGTGAAAATTTTGGATGTATTTTGTTCATCTTCAAATGAAAAATTTTATTTGACAGATTGCATGTCCCACATTCCCTGCTCTCAATTTTAGCAACAGACACAGTTATAAAGCTTCTTCAATTAATTATTCATCTGGGAGGACCATTTTCTGTCAGATATAGTTATTTTAAAAATGTATTTGTCAAGAAGACATAGCAATCATCAACATATATGCATCAGATGAAGGAATACCAA